CACCCCTTATCAACAAGAGTGCCTGAACGATGCATATTTGTATACCTAACCCCTAACTGTACCCCACAATTTTAAAATAAGAAATATGTTTAGAAAAAGAAATGAAAAAGAAAATAATACCAGTTTTCTCTTGTTACAAAAGCAATGTATGTTTACAACAGAAAGATATACAAATACTACTAACAAAAGTAAAACCCCATTTTCAATTTTAAAAAACACTGCTAACATACTGTTATCTATTCTATGTTTTTTAAAATTTATGTGTCTGTCTTTCTATGTAAAACAAATGTTTTTCCGTTTTACGTATTATCTAAGAATTACACTATATGACCTGTTAATTTACTTTTCAAATTTGCTTTAAATGGTTTACCGGCCTTAGTATATTACCTTTTTCTATACATTTTGTAACAAAAAATGGTACACCAAGTCTTTCAATCATGTTCAGTGATGTGTTATTGAAACATATGTTCATATAGCCAAAACATGGAACCAACCATGTTGCCACGGAAGCTGAACTGGATAAAAAAAATGTGGTACATATACACAATGGAATATCATGCAGCCATAAAGAAGGACACATATATGGACTTCGCAGCAACTTGGATGGATTTGGAGATAATCAGACTCAGTGATTTATCACAGAAACAAAGGACAGAATTCCATATGTTCTCACTCATAAAAGGACCTTGAACAACTATAATGTTATAATAAAGTAATTTGCAGTAGTGGAAAACTGTCAGGGAGGGGGGTGGGACTGGCAGTTGAGGGAAACTGCAAGGGGAGGGAGGGGCATACCTTATCAACAAGGTTACCTGTATAATCAATGTTTATATGCCTAACCCTGAAATGTACCCCACATCTGTATAATAAAAATTAAAAAATAGAATATGACTCTCTACAATCCAAAAAAAATTTAAAAAGAAACATATGCTTATGAAAAAAAAAAGAATATAGAGCTATAGGCCCTATCCCATACTGATCCAATGGCCTCCTATGTTGAGGTTGTACACCATCTGATTCCTCAAAGGCAGTAGAGGGCATTGACTAAGGCAGCTTATTTTCACACTGTACCATGCTATGGTTCACCTGAGGAACTTGTTGAAATATAGACTGTGACTCACTAGTTCTGGATTGGGCATGTGACTGCATTTTTGGGGTGATGCTTTTTCTGTGTTGATCCAGAGAAGCAACTCTTATTGAGTGTGCCACACACAGAGTCAAAAATTTATATCTCTGGGACCAGCAGCATTGCCCTCAACTGGAGCTGAGAGACAGATTTTTAAGACCTGCAGAATCAGACTCTGCACTTTTACAAGATTTCAAGGAGACTTATATGCACATTAACTTCTAGAAGCACTGGACAGCACTGGGATGTTGTGTGTCCCAGCCTGATGGTTTTGTAAAAGGGACTATGATTTCAAAGAGCACAAGTCTTCATACAAGGTCTGGATATCATGCAATGTCAAGAAGGAGCACCATTCCCATAAGTCAGTGGGGCTATCTCCATAGAGACTTCCCTGGAAAGGAAAATGGCCAATGAGTATTTGGAGAGCCAGCCTTTAACGGGCTCAAGATACAGTAGAAACAGCTTGAGCCCAAGGATGGCTGCAGCTGCAGATGTAGAGAGAGTGGGGAGAGTTGCCAACTTTTTTGTGTATGATTTGTTCATACAACTCATACACATTATTTGATAACCATTATAAAGACAGGTTGAAAAATATACTTACAGAAGAGGTGGGAAAATAAAGTTAATTAAAATGAGGATAGGATATTGAGAAAATATTTTAAAAAGATAAAAGCCCAAAGGTTTTAAGAAGTAATACAGGAGAATACTTAAAATGTTTTAAAATATTAAGAATAGGTGAAGCCAGGCTCGGTGGCTCAGCCTGTAATCCCACGCTTTGGGAGGCTGAGGTGAGTGGATTGCCTGAACTTGCAGGTTCGAGACCTACCTGGGCAACTTGGCAAGACGTCATCTCTACAATAAATCAAAAAAGTTAGCCAGGCGTAGTAGCACATGACTGTAGTTCCAGCTACTTGGAAGGCTGAGGCAGAAGGATCGCCAGAGCCCAGCGGGTCGAGGCTGCGGTGGCCGGGAGCGTGCCACTGCCCCCAGTCTGGGCGACTGAGTGAGACTCCAACTCAAAAAGAAAAAAAGAATAGGTGATACATATATATAAATGATAAAGGCTACAAGCCAAATAAATATAAGTGATTGAATTGAAAGGTGGTTAAAAAGGAGGATTTGGAAATGAAGCAGGAGATGAGGTTGATGACTATGAATAAAAGTAAGGAAAAAACAAAGTCAAGGATAAAACCTAAAGTCAAAATGATGGTGGGGAGGGTATTTTTAAAAGAAAACAAAAGCAAAAAGCCTGGGGATGGAGATGAGAGGAAAAGAATGAGAGACGCGAGCTAAAAGCAGAAGTTTGTGGAACCAGGTGTGAGAAACATAGGTGTTCCCACAGCACAGAGTGATACCCCTCGCAGGCATGCCCTTTCTCGCCCTCCTTTTCTCTGATGTCCAGAAGAGCCAGCTCCTGACCATGAACTCTTTCCTGCCTGCACCTACTGTGACTGAGTAAGAGCTTCTCCATCTAAATATTTGCAGTCAAACAAGCTGCCTGTACACTGTCATCCCCGGAATACCCCCCACGAGCCCACAGACTGAAGTAACCTCCACGTCACTGTGTATTTCCTTCTAGCCTCTTGTCCTGTTGCATATTTGCATATTTACATCATCCAGATCATACTTTATATGTATTATATTATTTTTTTGTATCAATTAAGTCATATAATTGCAAATTTTTCAAACTCTTAATTTTTAATGGATACACAACAAATATTTCATAATGCAGTACGCATTAGTTCCACAAATATTTGTTGAGGACACTTTTGTGAGCAAGCTACATGACTTGTTCAAGGTCCCTCTTATTTATTTATTTATTTATTTATTTATTTATTTATTTATTTATTTACTTATCAGAGTCTTAATGTGTTGCCCAGGCTGGCATGCAGTAGCATGATCACAGCTCACCACAACCTTGACTTCCTGGGCTCAGGTGATCCTTCTGCATTAGGTTCCCTAGTAGTTAGGGGTACAGGCCTGTATCATATGCCTGACTAACTTTTCATAAATTTTTGTAGATATAAGGTCTGTCTATGTTGCCTAGGCTGATCTCAAACTGCCGGGTTCAAGTCATCCTCCTACCTCAACCTCCTTAAGATCTGGGATTACGGGCATGTGCAACTGTGCCCAGTGAAGGTCACTCCTAATTGGCAGCTGAATGTGGAATAAATAGGGCAATGAATGTAGCACAAAACACTTTCTCTTCACTGCTCAGACACACTTTGCTGATGTCCAGGTTCAAAGCTGGTTCAGGTAAATGAAATTGCCTGTGTAGGATAAAGGATCATCTCTGTAGTTTAGGTGTCTGTATGGGTTTAAGCACTAAATCAAGTGTAAACATCCACTGTGGATTTATGGTGGAGGCAAAGGAAAGTGTTAGGATCAGTATTTGTCAGAGACAGAATGGCAATATTCTTCCATGAGATGCTGCTTTATGTTATTTTTTTCAAATGATATACATTCACATGGTTCTAAATTCAAGCCAAAATAGTAATGTATACAATGAAACAGTTCATTCTCATCACTTTCTCATCTGCCAAGTACCTAACTGTTTTATTCGATTTTTTGTGTATGTTCCTAAAGTTTATTCATGCAAATCCATATATATATTTATAATTTATTCGTGCAAATCATATATATATATATATACACACACACACATAAATATATGCTTATTTTTCTTCCCCAAACCAAAAAGATTGCTTACAATTTATGTGTTTTCATCTTGCTTTTTGCATGCAGCTATATTTCTTGGAAACATTTCCATATAAATAAAAATCATTCTTCCTTTACCTTTATTAGTTCTATAGTTCTTTTTCTTCTCTATAGCACTCCATTTTATGGCTAACCATAATCCTTTGTTGCACTTGAAAGAACAAGAAGCTTTCAGTAGAGAGCCAGACAGATGTATTAAACAATTCCCTGTTAATGGACATTTGTGTGTACCATTAAGTTTGTCACCTCAAACATCGTTGCACTGAGTAACCTTTTGCATATTTTATTTTATACACATAATTGGGACAAAGGGTAAGTGCATTTATAATTATGTCACCAATTTACCATCTACAGATTTCAGCAATATCCATTTCCACCAGCACTATTCTTGACCTCACATTTGACCAGGGATCCAATTAGATATTTTATTGAGTCAGAAAGCTGAAGGTATACTCTACTCCAGGCCCCTTGCTAGACAACCAGACCCCAAAGAAAAACAAGAGTTTTTCAGTAGAGAGCCAGACAGATGTATTAAACAATCAAGTCAATATGTGACAAAGCACCTCAACATGTCATAGGAAGGACTATGAGAACATGGACAAGGGAGTGATTTATTCTACAACGACATCTTCAGAGAAGGCAAAAATCAAGTTGGGCACTGAAAGGCAAGCAAGTGGTCAAAGGGCAGAGAGATATTTGAGACAGCTGATGGGGCCAGAAGAAAGACTGTGAACAACTTTGACGCCTGATCCAAGAACTATGAATAGATGGCATTGATCAAACAGGGGAGCTAAAGTTTAAGAGGAAAGGAAATACCAGAGAGAGACTTTACCTGACAGAGACTTCATCTTCTAAGAACCAAGCAGTCCTTGTGGGCTTGTAAGTAACAGTGACATGGTCACATTGCTTCCCAGTCACACTCAGTCCTTTCTCTTCTTCTGGACTCCAACACACCAAGAGCATAGCAGCGCCTGTCCATTTCACCCAGGCATCACTTGATGCCTTACACTGAGACCTCACAATAACCCCCAAGTAGGTCAGTCATGATGCAAGCAATGTTTGTGACTGTCCCTTGAGTTTTCATAAAATTGTCTTAAAAATAAACTCCAGGCATTAACACCTCCTATCCTAGCCTATTGCCAGAATATGATCAGAAATGGCAGTCAGAACACTGGAAAAACAGAGAGCTAAAGACCCAACAGCTCAAGAAAGAAATATAGTAGAGGTGAAGTCAGATAAGAAGAACGAAAAGCCAGTCAGACTATCCAATAACCGCTTTTCTTTTCTGAATGAAGACTTCCTGTGCTGCCAAGAAGACCTATGTTCTGCTTCACCATTGGGGTGAGTGTGACTTGTGCTTCAGTTCATTCATACAAGAAGGAGGCCAAATGGAAGAGCACACCCAGTGGCTACAGAAACCCCTGCTCATGGGTTGGCCTCAATGTGGCTAATACAGAATTACCCTCTGTAAGATCTCCCACTATAGGATGGAAATCTAGAAAGACCTTTTCCAGGGTTCTAATACTCTTCTATTTCTACCTTCCAGGATATGGACCGTGTTCAACAGATCAGACCCACGCGTTGCTCTCGGGAAATACTCTCCCTTGGAAAAAGAGATCCTAGTAAGTGCCCTGAAGGGTCCACACAGAAGCCCCACTAAAGTCAGCCAGTTATTCTGGGAGAAGCCAAAAGTAGAAAAACCACCAGCAACATAGGCATACCTCAAATGGTGGACTCAAGTTGGCTGAAGCTCCTAGTTGCTTTGACCTGGAACTGCAAGTACAAATTAGTAACATTAGGAATATAAGCAATAACAAATAAGTAATTTATTTACTTATGATTACAGTTGTCATCCCATGAGCCTTGCACTGGTTGCTTTCATATACAATGTCTTAGAGACTTCATAATGAACCTATAAAATCAATTCATTTCTTTTGAATTCATAATAAGAGGAGAGTCAGGATTTGAACTTAGGCTTGTGTGACCCTAATGGTTTGCCACATTTCCCACTTATACAGGGGCTCAAACACTCTTAGCAATAAAGGAAAAACTAGCCACTAGCTAATTCTTTCTGTGGGTGCAGCTGCCTCTGTGTCATAAATATTTTAACAATCCCTTTCCATTGTCAGCGTCTAGGTGGCATTCACACCATAGCAGCAAGGAGGCTTTTGGCTTATAAACGAGAGGAAGAATGGAAAATGCTCAAGGAACTCCAGTTTCTCTCTCCAGACTACAAACGGGCAATGGAATATAGAAAACATTATTGTTCTCCTTGTGTTACTTATGGAACTCAAGAAAAAATATGGACAGCAAAGGTTATTGTGCCCTCAGAGGAGTTTAAAATGCCGGATCGAGAACAGAAGAACATCAGCAAACACATAGAAAGGATGCGGCTTGCTCAAGCCCTAAGAAATCAGGAGCTTTTACCCTACATTGAAAAATGTGGAAGCTCCCCATTTCTGTCTGGAGGGGGCTGGGGCCCAGCAGCAAAAGACAAGGCCAGGCAAGGGAAGGACAACAAAATGCAAGAAATAAAAATGAAAGTAGTTTTCAAATCGGAAGAACCAAAAAAATGTTTAACTTATCATGCAAATGATTGCAAACCATTCCTCCCCTCAAAGAAACTGAGACGAACCATCACAGGCCTGACAAACCAAAATCTTTTCCACTTAGCAGAATTCCCTGGAGACTTAATGCTAATGAATCAGGATTTTATGTCACGGGGAATCTGCACCAGTGATGTGGCCAACACCTGCAGTCTGGAAGAAGAGAGTATCTGGAAATAACACACGTGCAGTGTGACTCCTTATCATTATTACAGTTTTATTTATTTCCCAGGGTAACTTAGTGTGCTGGTTCTTATTATTCCTGACAACTGTGCCCAGGCTTTGTATCACTCTGTCTTCTTGTGGGCCTTGGCTTCTCCTGCCAGATCTACAGGGGATGCTTAAGGTAAGACTTAGCTGCTGAGGCTTCCTGGTCTCAGGCAACTCTTGATTCTCAGCTCTCACCCTCAACAACAGCCAACCTCCCTTTTCACCGATCTCTATTGAAGACTGTATCCATTATCTATTTATAAGAAATATATCATCCCCAAATTTAGTAGTTTACAATAGAAATCAATAATTTTGCTTGTGATTTTGTGGGTCAGCAATTTCAACTGCGCTCAGCTGGTTGGCTCTCTGGTCTCATCTGGGTTCCTTTTCAGTCTTCAGTCAACTGCAGGAAAGTTAGGTAGCTCTCCTTCTGGGGTCTGACTATTCTCAGCTGGGCCAGTACGGGTGACCTTTTTCCTTTTTCCAGTAGGCTAGCCACAGGGCCATTTGTGAAGTCAAAGAGAATGAGTAGAAGTTTGCAAGCTTCTTAAAGTCAAGACTCACAATTGGTATGCATCCAATTTTGCCACATACTGTTGGCCATAGCAAGACGTGATCACGCCATATGCAAGTGTGGGTAAATGAACTTCATCTCATGATGGGAAGCCAAATTGCAAAGGACATGAACACAGGAGGCAGGTGTAGTTGGATCTATTATTGCAAGCAATGTAGCTTAGACTCTCTCGAGCTGTGACCAGCCTGCAGTCCAAGTGAAGAAAAGAACCCTATTCAAGAAGACGGCCTTGACTACTCAAGCCTAAAACTTATAAGTCTGTTCCATGAGTCCCACTTTCTACCCAGACATACAGTTTCTGCCTCTGAAGGCAGAGCCAGCTGTCTTCAGCATTATCTCTTTGATACCTTTTTCTCAAGTGCAGGCAAGTGATCTATACCCTCCCTGTCAATTGCAGCCACGGGGAGGAAAGGCTACAACATGCACATTTCCTTTGTGCTTGTCAGGAAAAGTAACAAACATCTCTAAAGTCAGTTATTGTACTCTCATAAAGGCCCTGCCTGTGCCCCAATGTGGCAGATCTAGACGACAACAATTAGGACAGCTGGACCTTATTACCAAGATTGTGCATCCTTCTCTGAGACTGGCCCTTCTAGGTATGCTGTGAAATACAAAAATGGATTCTCAAGGGAGGAAAAAATTTGAAGCCAGATGTTGTCTAGCCTCTTTCCTGTGTATTGCCTCCTCTACAGACATGCGAATGTGGGGACACACACACACACTGCCATGGGATACTGCTCATTGTACAGCTCCTATTACAACTCTTAGCTTCTCACCAATGATCCTCCCACTTGCTCTGAGCCATGCTCACACCAGCCAGCAACTTATAGCCATGGCATTCGAATTTCATGGTTAGCACTGACTTCATAAAATTAGAAGCACAACATAGTCATATAGAACTTGAATATTTTTAAGCCAGGCTTTTTCCCAATAATCAGGATAAAGACAGCGGCCATAGTCCATGACCTAAAATATCCGTTCCAAATGATGGACTTTCCTACAATGGCCAGGCCATTGTCTTGATCCTGAGCTACTCAGTGAAAAACTGAAGTGCCCATTATATATTGGGCCATGTTAGTGGGGAAACAACCAGACCCTGAGCTGAATAAGATCATGGGCCCTTAGCCCCCTATGTATCTTCAGTGTCAAACCTGAGTTTCAGTCATTGATATGAGGTGTAGCATTTTTATATCTGGAACAAATGAATATTTTTATTCCAAAAGGCAGAAATCTGACCCTGAGTCCAAGCTAGCACATTTAGCATTTAGGAAGCATGACACGTTTATTTATTATCTGCATCTGAAGTACACAAACTTTCCTCAGTCAATCACACTCTGTCCTCAGCAACTCCTTGAGTAGGGAAAATACTAAACTCATCCATGGGGACCTACAGTTGGTTGGAACAAGGTTAGATTCCTTTCTAGCTCCCTCCTCTCAGTGGGTTTTTCCCAGTCAGTCCTTTCTGAACCCCAACTCCCTCCAAGCAGAGGGAGAGTCGTTAGTGAGAGCCTCCACCCTCTCTCATTTTCCAGGATAACTCCATTGGTCACTGTTGCAAGAAGAAAATCATTTTTAAGTTTTGAATCGGTAGCCATTATGATCAAGATGGTGATTCTAAGAAACTTAGCATTGTTCCAAAATCATAGGTGCATACTGATTAAAGAATCAGTATAGGCTAAATAAATAAGCCAACTTTTCAACTGAGGCAAAGTTAGAGGAAAGGAAAATATTCTTTCCAATGTTGATGTAACTTTCTAAATATGATTAACATTGTGAATACTACAGCATCATCTGAAAACTCAAGCCAGTTTGTAAAAACTATTTATCTGGATCATAAAATCGCTTAGGTTCAGCTGTATAATTTTGTGGAAAGTTATTTGAGGGAGAGATAAGGAGATCAGTGCTGTTCTTATAGCACTGCTTCCAGACAGCTGTATGGCATGGGTAAACCGATAAACCCTCTGCGACTCAGCACCCCCAACAGTTAAATTAGTACATTGAACTAGATGGTCACTAAGGCTCAGTTCTATGATTCATTCAATTAACCGTGTTCAATAAAGTTGGTAGTTGATTACTTGCTCACTCCTGACCATCAGCTTAGTGTGGACAATAACAGTCTAAGTATTGTGTTAACAGTCTAAGTATTATCTCTACACCTGGAGCACCAGGTGTACCGATGTTTTAACCGAGCCAAATTCTCTGAGATGCTGAAGTCACTGCTGAAAATAAATCTAACCCTTTGGAAAAAGAGTGGAAGACAGAATGCCAAATTATGGCCCTACTAGCTGTTGTCAATAACAACCTTACTGAAAAGTGTGATATTAATTATAATAAACATTAATTACCTGGAGCCATCCAGAAGTAACCCCAAGTTAACTAAGTATATCAATGTGAATGCCATTTTTAAAGAAGTATATATATAAATAAGCTTAGGTTCAAATACCATTTATAAAGAAGTATATATATAAATAAGTTTAGGTTCAAATGTGAATTTTTAAAGGTTTCAAAAATGTCCTGTATTAAGTAGATATTCATCTAACCATTTATCTGACTTTACTTAAGTACTTTCCAATGATAATACTTGATAAAGAGATAAGTGACCACAAGAGCCTATGAAAGTCTTAAACTCAGTAGATTATGCTGATGGTGAGATGGAATTTAGAAAGCCTTTGGGCATCAGCACCAGAAACAAGAGATCTGTAGTGAGGATTCATTTGACCTGAAATTTCTTTTTTTTTTAGCATATTTTTTATTTTAAAATTGTGGGGGACAGTTAAGGGTTATGTATACAAATATGCATTGTGCAGGTACCCTTTTGAGGAGGTGTGCCCTGCCTCCCGTCCCCAGACAGATATTGACTACCAGATATCCCACCTCCCTTCCTCTCCCTGGCCCCCATAGTTTCCTGCCACTGTCAATCCTTATAGTATTACGATAGTTGTTCAAGGTCCACTTATGAGTGAGTACATGTAATACTCAGATCTTTGTTTCTGTGAGAGATCACTCAGTATTATAAACTCCAGGTTACCGTGAAATTTTTATTCTTTTTTATGCCTGTGTAATATTCCATTGTGTATATGTACCACATTTCTTACATTCAATCCTCTTTTGATGGACAGCATGGTTGGTTCCATGATCTTGCTATTGTGAACAATGCTGCAATAAACATATATGTGCAGGCATCTTTTTTATAGTGTGATTTGAGTTCCTCAGTGTGTATTCCCAGTAGGGGGATTATGGGGTCATATGGAAGGTCGATTTTTAGAGCTTCTAGGATCGCCACACTGATTTCCACAGAGACTGTACTAGTTTACACTCCCACCAACAGTGTAGAAGTGTTCCCTTTTCACCACATCCTCTCCAGCATCTGTTATTTTTTGAGTTATTGATCATGGCCATTCTGACTGGAGTTAGGGGGTATCTCAATGTAGTTTTAATTTGCATCTCCTTAATGACTAGTGAGGTGGAACTTTTCTTCATGTATCTGTTGGCCGCTTGTATGTCTTCTTTTGAGAAGTGTCTGTTCATATCTTTTGCCCACTTTGTAATGGGGTTGTTTGTTTTTGATTTTTCAGCACGTTTGAGTTCCTTGTAGATCCTAGAAGTTAGGCCTTTGTCAGACATGGAATTGGCAAATACCTTTTCTCAGTCTGTGGGCTGCCTTCCTGCTCTCTTGATGGTTTCTTTGGCTTTGCAGAAGCTTGTCAGTTTAATTAGGTCCCACTTGTCTATCTTATCTCTTATGGACCGTGCATTTTGGGCTTTGCTCAGGAATTAGATGCCAGTTCCAACTTCCATAAGGGTGTGTCCTGCATTTACTAAGGTTCTTATGGTTTAAGGTTTTACATTTAGGTCTCTGATCCATTTAGAGTTAATTTTTGTGTATGGGGATAGATAGGGGTCTTGTTTGAATCTTCTTCATATGGTCAGCCAGTTTTCCCAGCACCATTTACTGAATAAGTTCTCCTCTCCCAAGTGGTGGGTGGTGGAGGCTTTGTCGAAGATGAGTTGGTTGAGAAATTGAGGTTTTGCTTCTGGAATCTCAATTCTATTCCATTTGTCTATATGCCTGTTCTTGTATCAATACCAAGCTGTTTTGATTATTGTAGCTTTATAAGTAAAGTTTAATGTCTGGTATTGGGATACCTCCTACTTTGTTTTCTTGCTGAGGATTGTTCTGGCTATTCTTGGTCATTTGTGTTTCCATATGAATTCCTGTATTGTTTTTTCTAGATCTGAGAAGGATGTTGCTGGTAATTTGATGGGTATTGCATTAAATCTGTAAATTGCCTTAAGTAAGATGGACATCTTTCACAATGTTGATTCTTCC